GTCGCATACGCGTTGCAACAAAAAAGGCTGAGAACGGCTTCAACAGTGTGCGCACTCCTTCTGGCTGACACGCCCCACCGGTCCGCAATGATGAGGACTGTATGTGACGCCCAATCTCATCTCAGTAGGTGCCCACCACTCTATGACCTGTTCCAACAGGGTCCTAAAATTCTCGACAAGGTGTTTATGATGCTCCTAGGGTAGCGGGTAAAGCCATATGTTGCGATCTCCGACGCAGAAAAGGCTTTATACTGCAGGCGCGAAGGTAACATTTATTTCGAATGTCTCTCCATTCACATGTTCCAATCGAAGCAAGCCATCCAGCTCTCCGAACACGACTAGTGGTATGAAACCAGATCCTCCCAGACTTGTCTAGGAGGACAAAAACACTGTGTTGGGCATTAGCTGGCACAAAAAATGTTACTGAGTGAAGTCGCATGCTTGACGTATCCCAAGAAAGAGACTGAGTGACGCCAAAATCTTTGTATCCAAACTTTAGGATTCCTTTTCCTACCGATTATCTTCTCTTCCAATTTTCCTTTGAAACTCAATACACTTCTAGCAATTTAATCATCTTTATTCGTATAACACGTTATGAATTCAATTATCAGATTAGACACATTTAAATCAAATTACTCCTACTATACATGAGTACGATTCCTTCAAAGTATGCTAACCTGTAGTAGCACATAGGCGGTGAGAAAAGATGCTGAGTGAGCTCCTATAGAGAGCACCGCATAACCTGTTTTCTATGCGATAAAATAGATCACACAAGTTTCAGTACTATAAGCAGTCCAGACCATAGCTCTCAAAACGATTTAGATAAACAGGATAAGTGACGTGATATGACGATTAGAGGTTTGAGACACCTGTACAACAGCAAGGGACATCGGGTTCACTCGCTATGTCACATCGAGCAACAATGGACAACGAGTAAGACTTCAGGCTTTAGCCGGGGAACCGCTCGATCAGCTGGTGTTTAGCTTTCGCGTGAATTTTGTCCATTCGTTTGCGATGATGATAGTAAATGGGCATGATCAGGTATTTGAGGAACGTCCATGGGATCAGGTGCATCAGCAGCATCTGAAACAAATAATTGGCAGCTTCAGAATAACTTAAATAGTCTTCGAAGAGTTTCGCACAGGAGAATGTTACTGTATTCACAGAATCTCACTATGCAGCAGCATTTGATTGTGAGCAAGTTTGCGCTCATAATTAATTATATCTAGAAGTTTCATAAAAAGAGCTCGACGATTTGCGCGCTCAGATATTTTGCCGCCTTCTACACAAGTCGGGGTGATTTAAGAAGTACATGGCGACAGTGCATGTTAAAAAAGCAGTTTTCAAAAAACGAAGGTGTGGGGCCTATATGTTACGGCAGTGGGTCCTGGGAGTAACGGCCTTGGCGTATCTTGTGCTACTCGTCATGCAGGAGCTCAAAGATTTATTGGGGGCGTGCGTGTGCTGGCAGTACGTCAAGCTCACCCTTGCTGGATGAATATTCTGAGATTTTTGTGCAGCGTCGCGGCAAGCGTCTCCTGGAAGGGTACTGGCGATATCGAGTGAGCTGTCAAATTAACGTTCACGATGGCTGTATCGAGCTCCAACAATATTTCCCATCAGGCAATGAATGGAAGAGAATTCGTCCAGAAAACTAGGTAAATTTCACGGAATATTCACAATTACTACTCGTCCATAACCCGCTGCCACTAATGTTGAAGTTCCTATAGCTAACAAGTAAATCTATCAAAGAATGTTACCGAACCGTAGAGGCTCGCGTCAAGATTTCGGGGAACTTTCAGAAAGGTTTCCGCAGTTAGGAGAGAGGCACAGTTCACGCTGCGTAGGGGAGCAACACGTCGTGACGATATGGATCATTTTTCTATAGTATGACCTCCCCACTAACCATCAACTTCCAGATTGCCACCAAGCAGGAACAAAATAAAGCAAATGGAACATCAAAACGGAAAAAAAATAGAATCTCGGCGCTACTAGCCTAGCGGATGGGGAGTGTTTAAGGGACGTCCTGGTACAAAAACCTTGAACCAAAGTAGGCATGTTCGCCGCCCAGATCGCTGGCACCCAACTTATTCCCATGACTCAGCATTTTCTGGTAAGTAACCAGTGTTTTTGGGCTTTATAGGGCACAAACGTGGCGTTGAGCATACCTGAATCTCATGGTTGAAGCACCCGCTTGTTTTCTTGGTTAGTCCAATAGAGTTGACAGCTTCTTTCACGAAGTGTTCCGGTGTGACAACAAACGTCGAGCCCCTCTGAAAACGAGTCCATTACGAAAATTGTCCCGAAAATATTTCAGTTCCAAAAATACAGTCCTACAGACAGGTAACTCCAGAAAGGTATCTAATTATTACCGTATTCAAAAGGGCCGTAAATTAAGCAGTCATGTAGTGTGGCAGTGAGGCGTAGCCTTAGGGCTATTTTATTAATCAGTGATCATCACTGTTAGTTGTATTGATCACTGTTTTTGATACAAAGCTTCACACATGTCCACCGAAGGAGAAGGCTTGCCCCCATTTCTAAATTCTGAGACAAGCTTATATTAACATGGGGCCAGGGTAGAGGGGAGTCTGCACGTGACTTATGGCTAGATATAGCGACACATTTTATTTAAAAAAATGCATTATTCTCCGAACCGATCACTGAAGCCACAGCGAAGCCAGCTGCGGGGAATCAGTCACTCACCCGTGACATATTCTGGCTATTTCACCAAGATCGGCGGGCGCAGCGTATACCTTAGTATTTAAGTTACTTTTTTGGATACGGTAATGGTTTGGTACCGTACTGAGAAGTTACCGTACTGCCACAGTCCCAGTAACACACAATCCTAGTAACTGAGGGAAAGTCCCAGGTGACTATCGGTTTCAGGGGATATCGCTCGCAAATCTGCGGAACTATGGAAACAAGGTCGACTCAGATGCGTATCTCAGGATCAGAAATGCGGCACGAACAGCGCGATGTGGATCACTTGGAGAACACCTACATGTTTTTTTTCATCCATTCAGACAGTGAAAAAGCAAAAACAAGCAAACAATCATAAAAGCTGTTGCCAAATTGCACTAACCTCATAGTAAACCATCTTCGTGGCGACCAATGCTGGAGTAAGACATTGAACAGAGATTGTTTTATATTCCCGATCGATAGTCTCACTCAGAAACAATAGCATTGACTGAAATGTATCGATGATTATTTGTTCAGATCATTCAGATACAAAAAACGGGCTTTTTGGCTCAAGGAGGGTGGAGGGGGATTTTCCACGTTCGCTGGCTCTTGTAAAAAATTACACGTCTCCCCTACAATCAGTCAGGCTTGTAAACTCTCCGGCAAACTGCCCCCCCCCAGCGTCCGAACTACAGGGGGGCAAAAAAAGTCACTTTGCCTCATTGACTTTCGAGGCGCTATAAATTACACTTTATCAAATTCTGATCGGACATTTTTACTACCATATTGAAGAGCATATTAAGTACTATCACGACACTCCGCCACAGCCTTCTGGACGAACGCCATCGAGAGATTCTGGCACGCGACCGCGATGTGGTACCTGAGATCAGCGGGGTAGTCGATTTCTCCGCCACCGTAGACCCTATTGAACTCCGCCCGAACTAGGTAATTGAGTGGGTTCAGGTCAGGGGACATACTTCAATATTACATCTTCTTCAGGTACGAAACGCCCTTCCATTCGAAGTAGGCGGGAGTTTTTCCAAAACCCTTCGATTCCATGTGGTGGCACCCAAACCTGTAGCAGCACAAGGTCTCCAAGAAGGTACGGGCGACCACATGTAGGGAGGATATTCTTCTCGAGTTACTTGATGTAACCGCCAGCGCTCACCTTCAGTCGGGTCTACAAAGAAAATATCGGTCTTCCCATTCCAGGTACCCCGGTCCATACCATCAACTCGCGCCTCGGCGACTACGGTGAAGATGATGTCCTAGACCGTAGCGAAGTTGACGAAGCTGCTCGATGTTGGGGTCATCCAGATTGAGAGTACTGGTCTCCAGGTAGCTATCCATGGGTGACTCCATACTAGAAGTTTCGCAGCTGTTTGGAGGTGACATGAGTTCCGAAGGTCTTCTCCAGTCAGGTTGCGACTGGAGATGACTTCATATTTTGGTGTACATGAAGGTGATGGGCGAGAGCCAGCTCCTGCTTATAGAGGAACATCTTGGGTATCCTTCCGCCCTGGTACTCGTATCCACGTCCTCTGTCTGGGCTGCAAAAACTTTGCTGATATGTGACTTGGTCAAAGTGACTTTTTTTGGCCACCCCTGTATGCCTAAAATATCTTGCATGACGAAGTGTACACCACTTTGTTGGACCTTTCCAAAGTCTCTGAAGAAGGTGATAGTAGTACCATGGGGCCGCCATCATCTATACAACTAATAATCCGGTTATCGCTTTGACACGACAGGACGCGTTCCCCAAAATGCTACATCTCTCAAGATTGGTTGTGAGGTGAATGATGAGTTCTAAAGCTCTCAGCTCATGATAAATTGGGCTTTCTGATTGTCCGTGTACTGCAAGATATTTTACACTATTTGGAACTCTGTGCTCGAACCTTAATTAAAGAATAGCATCCTTTCCTCTCAGTCTACCCTCCGGAATAGGATTCCTCTAATCTCTGTAGATAGGTTCGCATAGTGGTCTGTAAGTTTGTTGGGCTGCAGCATTATACCGGTCCGATAGGCTGTTTATTGGGAATCCGGAAATCAGTGGAGATCCCGAGAAATTGCCACAGCGAAAAACACTTTATTGGACATTCAAGAAGGGTAGACGGTTTTCAGCACCCGCGATATGAGTACCAAACAGCTGGACACAATCCAATGTGAGCAAATTCCGGGGCAGTCTCACAGAGCGCGGCTCGTCTACTCCCAAATTCTACAAGTGCTTATGTCGACTACCTGCGACTTGAGCTTCTTTTGCAGCAAAGTCTGCAGAAGGTACCAATTCGATGTCAGACATTTGTGAAATACTTGTTTTCAGCATGCTCAGATTGTCTTTTCGCGGTGTCCGTGAAGGACGCGATCGGGTTCTATGCTAGCAACATCAAAAGTGCACGATTGTTCCGAGTGCCGGGAGCGCTCCCACAGAAATATCTCATGGACTGCAAAGCACTGCAAAAGATCAAGAAGGATTCAGCCCAAATCCCCCCCCCCCTTACCAAGCATTTATTGAAGCGAATTTGCCGACTGAGAAAAGGTATTGCGAGTGTTAAACCGTTACCTTTGCAGCGGAGTATGCTGCTAGGAGTGGAATCGGCTTGATTCCCTGAGATGAAGAGAGCACAACGATCTGACCTCCACCGCATCGTTCCATTGGCGGCAGAACCATCGAGAGGAACTGAACCGAATTAGGTCAGTCGAATTATTCAGTCGATGGTAACAAGGAGAGAACAATCGATTGTTCGCGGTGGAACTTTTTCACTACGTACCTCAGCTGCTCCGAGAGCGTTGACTTGGAGAATCTGTCGATCTGCCGGTGGGTTGTCCCCATAACGCTCCAAATTTTCCCTTCCGACACCAACGCTGTTCACTTAAAACTAGGCATTAGGTGTACAAATGCAACCGGTGTATTTCTGGATTCTTACGTGCAAATCCTATGTCAATGCCATAAATATACTCTCGTAGCTCTTCGAAATCATCTTTGCTAAAGTCAAAGAGATACGTCTTCACACGGCAGCCATACGTCAGCTCTGGAAGGCGGAAAGGTCATTGAAACCAATAAGCAGAAGAGGAAAAGAGATAAAGGAAGAAAAAAAGAAAAGTTTTATTATTTTCTCGTACTTTAATAACATACAAAACGCTTCGTAGGAGGGCAGCGTTCTCAAACCACTTACGAGCCAGCCCTACGCGACAATTGGTCGTAGACTCACTTCGTTCCCAGCTTTTTCAGTGCCGCATACACATAGGCGGCTCTTTAGACCACCGTCTGCTCGTCATAGTGCCAGACCCTGAGTTGCTGTATGTATGGCAGTGGCAAGGACACAATAATTATACTAGACCTGCGCGTTTCAAGTCGCGTAGCCCATTCGCTCAACATAAAGCCGTTCAATTCCAACTGTTCTGGTCAGTAGAGGGTACTCTCCGACGGCAAACGCTGCAATGTTTTGTCATTCGCCGAAATTGGCATCAACAGCAATTTACTCGCCACTTGTTGCGAAAATCGGCGTCACTGCCAAAAGTACCAGAGGGTCAAAGCGCCTTTCGGATTGGCACTGAGAGCGCGGTCATGCGTAGAAAGGAGTATTTACTTGACTTTCGAAGTCGAAAATAGTACTTTTCTAGTCTCCTCTTTGTCCGGATCAGTGTTATTCGAAAAAAAAACCGACGGTGCACGTTTGGTAATTGGAATGACATTAATAAAATTTGGCTGATTGGTTTGCTGATGGGACACTTCTTCAAATGGGCTCGTCGCGGATCCACAAAAGCCTCATCAGCAAGAATAGAAGCTGGTTCAGAAGATAATAATACTGCGCGTCACTTGATGTGTATGCGGCACTGAAAAAGTGAGTCCTCAGTGTAGGTACCTTCACGCTGCTATGCATCATCTACTTGCGCCACACGGAACCCCTCATGATAGAAATCGGGCGGCTTCTTACCTGCATTCATAAAATTGTCGATTGTGGGTTTCGGCCCGAGAAGTCCAAGACCACCCATATTTCATTTAGGGCTGGGGTGCGTTTTCACGATCGTGATTGACATTTCATGCTGAGAGCATTACTGCTAGTAAAGGTGCAAATGGGGGAGTACATGCGTTTTCTTTCGGACATACTCCGGGCAGCAGTTGCAGCTGGATGCTCAGTACACTCAGCGCCGGAAGCTCGACAAGTTAGCCGCACGCTCCAGGATTAAGACTATGAGCACTATGACTCCACCATATTTTTCCTGTGCCTGCAAGGAATTAAACATTACTGCGACCATCCACGTAACAAATTCTTTCTCCTGGCTCTCCTTCTTCGACCTCCTGACCCAAACCTTCCACCAGTATTATCGAGAATCACGATTACAACACAACTACTGCGTCCATTCCTGATCGAATTTGAGCAGCGCACTTCCCTCTTATGACGTCTGATTTGGAAATCGGGCGCTGATTTTTACCACTCGAGCTTCTTTTCAATTTCTCGAGAACTTCCTCTGTGGGTAGGTCCGCCAAATTTCACAGATACACAGCTGAAGGTACTAGCCTCCAAATGGTATTAGTCTGCTTCCCTATACCCATTTGCATTTTTCTGCCAATTCTTCTATATGTTCACGCTGGCCTGTTGAAATGAGACCTAATAACTATTGCTATCGATAAAGATCGAAATTCGAAGGACAAATCCGATCGTCATAACCACCAGCGGCCTTTTATCATCTGAGAGCCGAATACGTTCACTCGAGCGCCACTCGATTGAGATATTTCAAGGTTAGGTGACAGGAGGACCCTAAGGCGACCGCCAACCCTGGTTACCTCCAATCTGCTGTCTACTGCGGTTTCTCCTGCAGCTGGCGTCATCGCTGGAATAGACTCGGTTACCCATGGAAGCTCACCTTCCCTCCAAAATCGGCTCGACAGCTTCGTGGATTAATACAAAGCCAGCTTAAAATACCAAACGTTAAGTACCTGACGCTTAAGAAAAAAAGAGCAGATATTTTTGACCCCCCTGCCTTGCTTGCTCGATATCCTACATTGTTCTCCCATATCCTGTCCTGCTGCGAGAGTGAAAGGTGTCACTCTGCTGCATCAGCTTCACTTTTGCAGTATCACAGGACATGAAGGACCAGGGCTACCTTGAAGGCCATGATCTCCGCCGAATTTTTCCTTTGCGGATGCGTGTCTTGATCATTTGAGCTGCTTTTTATTTAAGAGCAATGAAAGTAACAGCAGCTTTCAAAGCTGCTCCGATCTTCCAAAATAAGTCGCGAGTGACCCTTGGAAGAGCAGATCACCAGGCTCCTGCGGGAGTCGATTACTATCCGCTGTTGTACTGGGTGGAGCCTCTTATGACCTCATAGTATTCGTAATGCCTTCTACTACCGTACTCGTCCACTTAAAAAGACCAAATTGGCAAGTTCTGTGCAAAAAGAAGAAGCAGGTCTTGAGAATAGCTCTCTATATTTTGCATCGTTTTGCAATGGGGAGAACCGAGCGCCCTGCGGTTTTACAGCACAAAAACGTGTTCCTGAAGGACATTTTTTTCCACGAACAATGAGTTCCCTGCTATGCGATGTCAAGTGTAGCGCGAAAACGATAACAATTCTTTAAGAATCAGAAATCAGTTAGGATAACCGTGAAGGTTATCCTATCAGTTGCACAGAATTATTACATCTTCCTTTGATTACAGTTTAAGGAAAACCCCCAAAAATCTGCTCCGTTCCTCACCTAGTAGTGTTTTCATGTCGCTCAACTTGGTCTGATTTCGTCCAATAAGCACGAATTTGTTCAGACCTCTCTTTGCCAGCTCGATTGTGTACGCTTTTCCTATACCGTCGGTTCCTCCAGTCACCACTGAAATATTCCCGATTATTCTGCGGATTTTTTCTATTTTTTCACTCCAATTTTTATTGACCTTGACCGCCAGATGTTGAACTGGCGCAGTTTGCCGACGGAGGAGGGGGCATTTTGCACTTTCGTTGCTTCACTAGTTCTGGTTTACAAGTCTCACTCTGGTGAAACCTGTGAACTCTTGTGAAGCTGGAGCAAGCTCGTCAAGCCATCATGGTAAAACCTGTCAACTCGAGAAGAGGCTGTCTAGATGGGTCGACACGTCGATGGGAAGTCGTTAAAGTGCAAAATGCCCCCCCCCCC